TGCCAAGACAGTTAACCAGGGTGTGGCTCCTATGAATGCTTTAGCTTTTTGAAGTCACAGGTGAGAGTTGGGCGACAGGTAGACATCAAAGGTGGATGAGCAGCTCTGGAAAGTCCTCAGTAAGCCTTCACACCAGAGGTGCTAATACCCAATAATCCCTCATCTCCACCAAGAGGGGAGAGAAGGATGTTTTCTCTAACCAATTCATCTCTGAAAGATGACTTTCAGTGTTTCTCAATTCCATTTTCCATCAGAAACTTTAGGTTTGATCTGAAATCTGAACACCTGGGTTTGAATTCTGACTTTACCTCTTATGTTGCTTCTCCGGGTTTTGGCTTCCTTATCTACAAAATGTAGCAGCTAGGTGGTGACGCAGTGCATAGAGTTCCAGGCTAGCAGTCGGGAAGACCCATCTTCCTGAGTTCAAATCCAGCCTCAGACACTTATTAGCAAGTCACTTCACCTTCTTTGCCTCAGTTTCCTCATCTGTAAAATGAGCTGGAGAAGGAAATAAAAACCACTCCTGTATTTGCCAAGAAAGGCCTCTGAGGCCCCTTCTAGCTCTAACACATAATCATTTGTAAACCTTAATGTGTTATCCAACTGTCAGCTGTTATCAGCCTTTGGAAAATTCCCTTCTGTGGGAAAACTCCCACCCCCAGGGCTCTAGGTAAGTGCTGGGCTCCACTGGCCCCTGTTCTCATACTTTCATGAAGCTTTCCCTGACTACTTCCTTTTCCAAATCTTGATTGGTACCCCTAATCCTCACCCTACCATTTAGTTCAGGATTGTGGGTGGTCCATTGCTTTCTCATAATCTTTCCAACAAGATTATCAGCCCCTTTAGGCAGTGAGAATGTTTATAGAATTGGTGTGATGTAGTAGAAAGAGCCTGGGGCTATATCCTACTCTCAGCTCTAGCCCTGAGTAGCTTCCTGATCTTAGCCAACTCACTTCCTGTTCTGGGCATCTTTGTCCTCATCTATAAAGTAAGAGGGTTGGGCTATGCTTTCCAAGTTTCCTTTCAGGTCTGATATTTTACATTCTCTGTTCTAAAGCTGTCTCTGGTATTGGATGCTCTTCTCTCTCACATTTCATGTTCTTAGGTGTCTCAGAGAGAGGCAACTCCTGGTGGAGTGAACAGAGAGCCAAGCTCAATGTCAGGATTCCTGGGTTCAAATTCTACTACCCCGATACATACTGGCTCTATGACCCTGGGCAAATAGCTTAACTTCTCAGTGCCTCAGGCAATTCTCAAAGAATGTAAGATGGTGCGCGTGCTAGCGCATGTAGCAATCTGTGCATTGGTAGAGAGAGTTTACTCACTGGGAGTTCCCTGCACCAGTAAAATCATGGGACCAAAAAAGAAAGTCCTTCTCAGCTCTAACATTCTATGCTCAAAGTTTTCTAGCTTTAACACTCTGTGTTCTAAGGGCCTCCCCCTCAGCTCTGTTCTATATTCTAGTTGTTCTATGTGTAACTCACGGCTCAAAGACCATTTGCATAAGATGCTCTTTATTCATGGAGATTGGTTACTCAATGTTCTGCTCCTGTGTGAAAGGCACACTGGTAGAGAAGAGAGATCCTAGTCTTCTGGCTTCCAGCTTTGAGAGAAGAACCATGGTTGCAGACTCTCTTCAGGTCCCTGAAGGGAGAGAAGGACTCTGGGAAGAAGTTGACATGTTGAGGAGCCAGCAACTTCAATCATGTCCTTATCTCCAGTTTGTTACACAAGAAAGTTTAGGTAATTTCCCTTTTGGTGGGATATCTCCCTCCCAGTGGGAGAATTCATTCCTCTTGTGTATTGGTGGGCATATATTATTTCATGTATACTTCCTCTGATTTCTGTTTTGCTATCCACTTGGATAAACGGGCTTATCAACTATTCACTACATGTATTCATTGTGGAAATGCATTTGGTGGGAAGGGAGTCAAACCTTGGATATTTAAGTTGAGATCTTCCTTTCCCATTGAAGTTAGGAGCACTTGAACTTAAAAATTATTTTCCACAGACTAATAATATTTAAGGGAGCAGATAGATTTGGCTGATACCCCTTCTCTCAGAGGAGAACAGAATGGCCAGCCACTGGCCCCAACCTTGTGATTCCCCTCATGGCTGGAAGCAAAGTCTCCCTTGAAGATGGGTGGGTGGAGGAGACTAAAGACATCTGTCCTTGCCTCTAAGGGAGCTAGATCTAGACAGACCCATGTGGACCCAAGTAACCTACAAGAGCAACACACACACATGCACACAAAGCATATTACTAATATTGCATCCCCCTCCCGATTTGAATCTATTTTTTCTTGCTTTCTTTGGCGGATACAGAACTAGTTTTTTTGTTTGTTTTGTTTTGTTTTGGGGAGGGGGCTAGGCAATGGGGTTAAGTGACTTGCCCGGGGTTAAGTGACTTGCCCAGGGTCACACAGCTAGTGAGTGTTTTGTGTCTGAGTCTGAATTTGAACTCAGGTCCTCCTCAGTCCAGGGCCCGTGCTGTATCCACTGCGCCACCTACCTGCCCCCAGAACTAGTTTTAAGAGAGTCAGCGGGTACCAACCTCATCCAGGACAGCAAACTGGATTTTTTTGCTCTGTTTTTTGCTAAGCACATTTTGTGTGTGTTAGCATTCTGTTTTGAACCTCTACTTTCTGGTTGTGACTACTTATGCCTGGCCAGGGTTTGCATCCCAGAGGGGAGGGGTTGGATGAAATGTCCTTGGTTGGGGCTGGCCCCAAAGGATGTTGCATCTGAAGTGTCTGTTCACAAGGTTTGGGTCAGGGACCTCTCCTAGGCTGAACCAGGGCACTGGGCTCCTGAGATAACTGAAAGCAACCACGGGGTCAAAGTCCTCTAAAGACCAGGCAAGATAGAAAGAACAGGTGTTTCTCTGCGAAGCTTCACTTTCTCTTAATGGAGAAGCATACAATGTGAAAGCTGGAAGCAAACTAGAGTTTCCTGACTAGAGCATGACCCTGTTAGATTGTAAGCTCCTTAAGGTAGTGACTGTCTTTTGCCTCTTTTTGTATCCTCAGAGCTTAGCACAGTGCCTGACACATAGTGTTTAATGAACGTTCAAATTAACTGAACCCCTCATGAGGAGGAGGAAACCAGTGTCCAGAATTGGACCCAGTAAGTCAGGGGTCAAACCCAGGTTTAAGAGCTCCAAGTCACTTAACGTCCTTGAAACTCAGTTTCCTCATATGTAAAATGAGGGAGTTGGACCAGATGGATTTTGATATCCCTTCCTGCTCTAAGACTAGGGCTCCTTTCAAAATACCACTAAGCCCTAGTAACCACAGGAATTTAGAGGGACCCAGGCTCCTTAGAAACCATGCAGTCCAAACCCTTCCGTTGGAGAGATGACGGTGAGGACCAGACAGGTTAAGTAACTGCTCCAGGTCCCAGTGGCTGTGAGTTGCCTAACTTGAACTCCAATCAATTTCCCAATTCTAGGTCCAGTCCAGTGCTCTCTTCACTTAAAGGACCTTCCTTCCCGAGAGAAACCAATGAAGAGTAAAAAAGCTGGAGGAAGGGTGTGGAGTTAACAGGTTTTGTTTGTTTTTCATGTTATTAAAAAAAGTGCCTAATACTTGCTGCCCCAACTTCACAAGGTCGTTGTGAGGAAAATGCCTCCTAAATCTGAAATTGCTACAGAAATGAGAGTTATTATTATGAGTGATCATTAGCTAAGGCTGAGGCAGTGCGGTGCAGTGCATAGAGAGCTAGCCTGAATCAAGAAGACAAGCTTCAAGCTGACCTCATAAGTCCTGCTGAGTGACCCGGAGGTCACTTAACACCCACTTCGCTGCCGACAAGGTGCAGCTCAGCACTGGGGGGTGGGGGGGGGAGTTGCTTATTGGGAACTCCATGCAATAATGGGCATGACTCAAATATATTTGTGCATGCACACACATACACAATGCATGGAAACACATGTATGTATACAACACAACTCATGTATGTGATACGCGTATATGGCATGTGTGTGTATGTATGTATATACTTCAGATAAAGGGGAATAGGAAAGTTTCTCTGGAAGAAAAAACAAACCAACCAACCCCAGGGGCGTAGAGCCTCCAGGCCCTCTCTCACCCTCAAGCCTCGCTTTCCCCCCCCCCCCCCCCCCCGCCTGTCCAGAAGAAGAGGGAGATCCGGTCGGAGCACTGGAGGTTTGGCCACTCGAGAAGGGCCAGGAAGCCCATCTCTGATGGGGAAAAGCAGTAACCCCTGTGGAGGGTGAACCGCAAGTCTAAAGATGAGGCTCAAGGCAGGAAAGAACCTGGGGCCACTGCCTGTGCTGGGAGATGGATGTTCGGTGGGGAGGAGATTGGGGAGGGGGATTGGGAAGGGGAGGACGAGGCTGAGGAGGGGAGGAGGAGGCCGGGGAGCCGAGGCTGGCTGGAGGAGGGGAGGGGGCTGGGGAGGGGAGGAGGAGGCTGGGGAGGGGAGAGCTGGCTGGAGGAGGGGAGGGGGCAGTGGCTGGGAGGTGGAGCCGGCGCGCGGGGCCGGCCGGCTGCTGCTGCTCCTGCTGCTGCCGCCGCCGTCTCCGCTGCCGCCGCTGGCCGCAGGCAGCTGGTGTCTCGGGCTCCTCGCTGGCTGCAGAGCAGAGGCGGCAGCGGCCGCAGCGAGGAGCGAGCGAGCCAGAGAGGCTGGAGGCGGCGGCCGGGCAGCGCGAGCCCCGGAGAGCGAGCCGCGAGGCGCTGCGCCCGCGCTCCAACCTTCGCCGCCGCCCTCTCCAGCCTTCCCCCGCGCCCACTGAGGCCGAGAGCTCCAGCCCTAGCCCCAGTTCCAGCCCCAGCGCCGGCGCGAGCCGCCCCGAGCTCCCGGCAAGTTCGGCGGCGGCCCCGGCTGGCTCGTGGGCCCGTCTCTGGGAAAGTTTCCCCTGCGGCGGAGGCGGCTGCGGCGCCTGAGGCGGCTGGAGCTCGGGCTCCGGCTCCTCCTGCTCCCGCTCCCGCTCCCGCGGCTGCTGCTTCTGCTCGAGGCTCCCGGAGAGGGCAGCGCGCGCCGGGTCGAGTCCGGTCCAGTCCGGGCGCTGCGGGCAGCCCCGGGGGCTGCTCATCCGACTGCAGCCGCTGCTGGAAGGTAGGGAGACGGATTGGAAGGAGGGTAGGCGGGCAGCAGGGTGGCACCGGGCTGCCCCGAGCCCGGGGCCATGCCCACCCACTCCACCGACTGTTTTCGGACACTTTGGGGTGCGCATGCTGGACTGGGGCTGGTGGCAAGGTTGGGGAGCCCAGAGAAGAGGGGGACCTGGTGATGAGGTTGGTGGAGGGGGTTCCTTTTCTCCTCTCCCCTTCTCGGCTCAGCCTGGGCTTTGCTCTGGCCTCCAGGGACAGGGAGGCAAGTTCATCCCAAATTGGGTTGTCCAAGATTACCCCAAGTCCCCGCCCCCATTCTCCCCCCTCTAGGTCTTTGCCCCTACCCCAGGGCTGAGTATCGGACAGCCTTGCGGGGGGCAGGTGCGCCGAGGAGGGGTGGGAGGGAAGCTGAGGGGGACGCGGAGGAGTGGAGAGGGAGGGCAGGTGCATTTTTCGGGGTTCGGTGGCCACAGCCCTTGCTGGGGCGGGGACGCGCGATGGGGGAGCAAGCACAGGTACTGATGGGGGGGCAAGGGGGCTGAGGATCACAGACAGAAGGGGAAGTTCGAGGTATGTGTGAATGGGAGGGCGTCAGGGCAGCCCTGGTGCAATGGAGTGCCGCGTACAGTGGAGGGTACCTATCTTAGCTAAGGGCGGCGGGGGGAGGGGGGCGCTTAGCGATTGGAGCTCCAACTTTGTTGGGGGCCCGGGAAATAAAAGAGGGCACGGTAGCTGGGGAGGAGAGGGCAGAAAACATACATTTAGCCATCCGAGGTGTGCAGAATTTATTTTTGGTTTAAGACAGGAGATAGAGAACTCCTGCAGAATGCGGGGAGGGGGTCGGGCTAGTCGGAGGTGTGATTGACTGTTTTGGACAGAGGAGGAAGCCCAGGACAAGGTTATTTTTTAGGAAAGGGCATGAGGAGTCAGGAGAGACAGGAGAGCCAAATGGGGACTGACCTGGAGCTTGGGGTAGAAAAACTCTCTTGTCAACCTCTCGGCTGAGAGTCCTTATCCGTCCCTGGCCTCCCCACGTGGGGAAAAGAACTCCCGCGCACCCTGTAAGCTCTCAGAGATTCTAGGATTCTCTGAAAATCAGTCAGACACCGAGAGGCTGAGCTCCGGGCAGATGAGCTCGGAGCCGCCCTCTCTGCCTGAGCCCAGGGAAAAGTAGGGAGAGAGGAAGGAAGGGGACGGATTGAGACTTGGACGAGATTTCCTCCTTAATGCCAGCGTGTGGTGTATCTCTGTCCTCTGGAAAGCGTTTCCAGCTCGCCAGAAGGTTATTCATGAGATGGCTGGGCGCGGGGCGGGGGTCGGGGGGGGAATCGTAGTGATTATTAAAACCCTCTTTGAAACAACGTGGTGTGGAGGCTGTGAGATGGTGAATGAACCTTGCAAGGTTTCTTAGGGTTGGATTTGTTCCCAAATCCTCTGAACCCAGCAATAAAAGCCCCGTTTATCCCAGGCGCCAGGCATCCTTCCTGGGTCTGCTCAGCTCCCAGTCTTTTGTCAGTGGGGTGTCGCGGTGTCTGGCCTTCCCCACTTCTTCCCCCTGGCCCCACTGGGTTAAGTGGCCAGCGGAGTCCAGTAGGGCTTAGGGGGGAGGGGCTGAGGAGGGTGGGAATTTCCTTTACTGGTTCAGAGTTCTCTGATAACTCAGGGCCGATTTTTTGTTGTTTCAGGGCTTAGCAGAGTGCCCGGCACACAGTAAACCTTTAAAAAAAATGCTTATTGTCTGACTGCGTGACTGCTGATGGTTCCACATCCCCGTGTAGTTCAGGGTAGGAGTACATACAGGTAAAAGGGGAGTTTTGCGATCTCTAACCCCCAGGCATTTCTTGAAAAACACGGGGACCTGTAAGGTTGTTCATATAAACTTTTTTTCTTTAGAGTCATTTCTCCAATTGGAAACATTTTACTAGTCCCATTGAGATCCTAAAACACATATCTTTGTCATCTTTGTCATTTAAGGGACTGTTTAACATTTAAAAGGCTGTTCTTCCCTGGATTCTGCGGTTTCTCTTGCTTCCCAACCCCCTGTCCTTTGCCAGTGAACAGGTCCAAGGCAGCATGATGTCTTCCCTGTTCCAGGATGATGTTTTCTCCTTTCTCTTTTCTGGATGTGTAAACCGATTGCCTAGCTGGTCCTCTTTCCTTCCTCTGCCCTTAGAACGCTCTTCAGAAGGGGAGGAAATGTGAAACAGTCCCTAAAAGATGGTTAATATTCCTGCGTTTGTTGCAGCCAGCTTCATGTTTTCCTTGGATGCCAATAAAATACTCTACAACAAAAGTTACCATAAAAAAGATTATTTTGAATAGATGAGGTGGAGGGAGGGAAGGAGGGAGGGAGAGAGAGAAAGAGAGAGAGAGAGAGAGAGAGAGAGAGAGAGAGAGAGAGAGAGAGAGAGAGAGAGAGAGAGA